TAGATCTGCATATTAGACTTGTTGGAGTGATTGTTACAGGTGTGCTTTCTCTTATACAGTATGAAATAATGATAATGATGCTGGTGGATGTAACCGGTGTTCCAGGTTCTTGTCCCATCCTAGAAAGAATTCTGAGACAAGATGTAGTAAAAAAGCACAGTGAGAATTTGTTACGGTAAGAGAGATTTTATCAAGGGGAGAGTGGGCAGGCTCAGGTGAGTGGCTGCCCCAAGTTTCTCTGGCAAGTTGGTTGCATAGAATGTAAAAATGAATGGGCAGAATATTCCGCCTTCATTAGGAATGAAAGGGCCGAGGTCATATTCCCTGATTTTCATCCCAACTTCACTTTACTGAAGAGAGGAGGGATTTTTGTCCTTATTTATTCTGGATTGGAAGTGTCATGGCTTCAGTGCGTGATGATACTTTTAATCTGCAAGGCTTATTTTATTGAAATGAGGGCATAATGAGCAAAAGGTCATATTCAGACACTGGAGATTCCTACCTTTTCCTACCTTTCTTCATTGGCCTCTGGGCCACTTATCACCCTCAAAGTTGTGACCACTTATTAACCTAGAGGTTCCTGTTTTTCTTTCTCTGCCCAGGGACCCCTGGTCCTTACATGATGTGTGGTTTCCAGCATTTGGCCTGTGGCCCTTTTTTCTGTCCAATTTCTGCCTTTTGGTCTGTGTTCCCCTTTCTCTGCTCATATCTAGCTATCTGCCTCTTCTAACAACAATAATAATAATGGTGCTAATAGCAGTGGCAATAACAATAATTCAAATTCACACTCAAATACAGCTCCCTGCTTTTATATACTCATCCTCCTTTGGCTTTGGATCAAAACCAAAAAACAAAACTATTCTCCACTGAGAGAACCCTTCAATTTAAGAGCGCTCAAGACATAGCAGTTTTTGACAATGGTGAATTATGTTACCAGGTTCGCATCCAGGAGAAACTGAGCATTTAAACACAAGCCTGGCAATTGCTTCTCCAATGTCTATACACTAAGATTCAAGAGGAACACTTCTTTCTCCCTGAATTAAGATGTTTCTCAAAGAATTTCTTCCTCCATTTCCTGAGCATTTCAAACATGGTAACATATCACTTTCTTTTAAAATTATTGGCATTTTCTTACTCATAATCCTGTGTCCTATCTCATCATCTTGTATCAATGCACTTCATCAACTTAAACATTTTATTCTCTCCTTATTTCTTAGTATCTTGCAATTATGTTACAAGCACTCAAAATATATAAATTTCATTAAATTACCCTTTCCACAAAATTTTAATATTAGTTTTAGAAGAATAAAAACTCACCAGTATTGTCCACAACCCTAGTTTTGCTTTCTTTTCCTACCTCTCCTGAGATAATTTGTGTGCAACTGTCCAAAATAAAGTTAAGAGTGATGCCTTAAGAATCTCTTTGTAAATAATTAATTTCAGAGAGTCATTGCCCCTAAAAACTCAAAAGTTAGTAGAAGTCATATCTTGTTCCTGGTATGTCTCTCACCAAGTGAAATCTGCCATTTCACAGTGCCTTTGGCAACAAATACTGTTT